CCACCGCCCTCCTCTGCACACCATGGTAGGCAGCCGGTGGCCCTGAGCTGCCAGCCCCTGCACTGGGCCCCAAGAGTGGGCTTCACCTCTCCCTTCCCCTCCGCTCGCTAGATCTACACGGCCGCCCAGGTGGGTCACTTCCGCGACCTGCCCGGGCCCCTCACAGCTGCTCCTCTGCTTCCTCCCAGGGCTGCTGTCACTGACCTCCTCCTCCTTCCCGCATAGTGCAGCCACCTTGCCGGCCTGCTCCCGCCTGGCCCCCAAGGCCCTCCACGACCAGAGTCCCTCTCCCCCTCGGCCTCATCTCGCCAGGGGTTCCAAACTCTGTGGATCCCAGGAGGCACGCCACCCTCTCCCCCTGCCGGCCTGCCCGCGTGTCTTCCCTCAGACTGATGTGCCCTTTCCCAGGAAGTCCCCTCCCCACAAACGCCCCCATCTAGGGACACTCACTGCTTGTCCTCCAACACTCAGCCCAAACCTCACCTCTGAGAAGCGGCCCTGAGCCCCTCCCCGCAATGCGTCCATGAGAGCCACTGCCACATTGTCACAGCGCTCACCGCCCTGCACTGGCAGCTGCACATGCACCTCTCCCCCCACTACACCCGGAGCCCTGCAGGGCCCCCGCTCTGCCCTTTGACTCTGTAAGCCTAGGCCCGGTGCCCTCGTGCCCACGGCCAGCCTCAGTGGCCAACTCAATGAAGTCAGTCCAGGGTGGTGGACTTGATGGAACAGAAAGCGCCCGCCAGGCACTGGACACGACGGCACGAGAAGTCAGGAGGAAAACACCAGCCCCTGACCAGCTGGAGAGAGACCAGACTCCCAATACCTCCCACAGTTGGAGGACTGAGGGAGACGCTTTACTTATCCAGCCAAACTCCTTATCCAGAAGGCACCGCCCGGAATGCCCAGGGCTCTTGCTGCAAGCCCTCGGTGCTGCCCTTCTGCCAGGGGCCTGAGTGCTGGCCAGGTGAGGGACAGGATCAACAGAGGCACTCCCAGCAGACAGAAGCACCCGCCCACTGCACAGCCAGATGCCGCCCGCCGCCAACTGGGGACAGGCCTGACCAAGGCTCCTGCTCAAGCGGAATGGGGCCAGAGCCAGGAACACCTGAGAAGGCAGGGAGGGCGGTGGGAGATGCAGGTGCCATTAGCAACCTCTTCTGTTTGACTGCAGGCCAACTAGGGTTAGGAGTAATGGACTTAACCTGACCTTGGTCTTTATATGATCTGGAGAAATGTAAATACGGAAACACACGCCAACTCTAAAGAAAAGCAAGCAGGTGCAGGGACTCCAACCACTCCTGGCAAAGTGTTGCCGTCCAGCCAGGAGCCCCAGGGGCTCCTCCCCTCCCCCCCCACCAGGTCCAGGCTGTCTCCTTGTTCCTGACCAGCAAAACCTGGATCTTAGCTTACAAAACCTGGAAGCGGCTCAGAGCTCGGCAGTCCCAAACTTTCGCAGAGGCCCGAGGAGGGAAAGGGACTCAGTGTGGATGACACGGCTGCCAGACTCCCAGGAAAAGCGCTTTGTACTGATGGAGCGCTCAGATCCTGGAAACACCTGCTGTCAGTCTTGGCCTCTCTCACCTCCACCCCTTCCCTTGGACCCCCAAAACAGAGGTTGCATTTTAACAAAAATAAAAGCAAGGTGCTAAGTGAGCTAAAGTATAATAATGGAATTTGAAGTACACACGAGCAGCCTCAGGGGACAGCCTGGTACCACACTGCTTTGTGCCGGGTCTGGCTGGCTGTGCTGTGCGCTCTGTCCTGGCCCCTGGCTTCCTCTCTCGGCCCTGCTCCGGGTCTGGCAGACGACAGGCGGAGGCAGGGCCAGCCTGCTCGCTGGAAGCCAGGGTGGGCCCCGGGGCCCCTGAGCCCGGCTGTTCTCTGAAGCCTATTGAGGGGTGAGTCTGCATCTTACAGCACTTGCCCACAGCGACAGGGACAGGAAAGAGGAGCAGGCCTGAGATCTCGCCCTGCCTAAGGCCCACCCCGCCCCCGCCAGCAACGTTAGCACCACCAACCCGGCTCCTGCACCAAGGTGGGGAACCAGAGACAGGCCTCTGGTGCCCCCTGCTGTCTGGCACTCCCGTCCCACAGCCTGGAACATGGCACCAGGGAGTGTCACCAGCTAGATCTAAAGATCAGAACACACAGGGTCCGTCACAGTAACAGGCAATCCCCAAAGCGGCATGGCTCGTAACAACTGCGGTTGCTTTCACTGGACGGGCTCCGTGTCCATCACGCATGTCCTGGCCGTGTTGCTCCATGTTTCCTCTCTCCAGGATCCAGCTGAGGGAGCCGCCGCCACCATCTGGGAGGTTGGCGGCCATACTGACCAAGGACAAGAGGCTGAGGGCCTCACGTGGACGGGTTAGCCTTCCACTCACAGCTCATCCGCCAGACCTACCGCATGGCCCCGCCCCGCCAGAGCAAAAGGGGCGGGATGTGCAAGCGGCACCACCAAGTGCCCGGAGTCGGGGAGCTGGGGTCCTGGGAGAGCACATGCATGATCACTCTGCCTCCACGTCTCCAAGCCCTCGGCTTATTCTCCCTCCTGCAGGCAATACACTCATCCCTCCCCTAGGAGCACAGCCGCAAGCCCCACCCCCACCTCGCACAGCCTCACTCTCGCGTGCAGAATCTCAGCGTGGCATGTCGGGTGCTCAGCGTGGCATGGTGGGCTGAGCAGTGAGGTGCAGGAATCCCTGTATCACGCACAGATGTGGCGCCTCTCCATCCAGAGACCTACAACCTCAGAATTCCAATTATCTGCTTCCTGCTAAAATTCAATACTCGCTCATACAACCAGGGCAAGAGAATGGCAGTAACCACACCCAGCGGGAAAGCAGAAAAGCGGGAAATACACGCAGCAGACACTGCAGCCCTGCAACCCTGACGCCCCACACGGCAGACTTTAAGGTCGCTGCCCTAAGAGTGGGGCTTGTCCTAGATCCGGCAGTTGGCCACTCCCCGTGGGGACCTCTCCTTCCCACGGGCTGTCTTGTGCCTGCACTGCCAGCTCCCCTGACTGTCTGGCTTTCCGAGCTTCTCCCCACGCAGCACCTTGGGGTGCGGCTCCGCAATGGCCACCTCACTCCTGAGTCTCCTGAACCTCTGAGTGACGCCCGCTTAGGTCCCAGTTCAGATTCCAGAAACAGAGAGAGAGAGAGAGACTCTCAGCTGGCGCCGTTAATTATCAGGACACCACTCAGCAGCAGGTCTGTCCCGCTTACGGGCAGGCCTTCTCGAAACGGTGAAGCTGGAGAGACCCCGTGCTGCCTGCGCGTCCTGGGCTGGGGGAGGTTGCGGGGAAGGCAATGAATGACCGTTTTCTCTGCGACAAAGAGCCTGCAGTTGCCCATGAATGGGGTCTGAAGAAAATGCACAGCTTGGGATGAAGAAGTGAGGTTCGGTGCTTTCGTTACTCCTCTAACTCTCAGTTTCCTCATCTGTAAAGTGGGAACAATAATCTCTGTCCCTGGCCCGCTCCTTTGCTCACCCCTTTGGGCCCCGCCCACACGGTCCAAAGGAGTCCCGGGGCCCGGGTGCGGCTGCCCCACAGTCCGGGCGGACTGTTGCCTGCACCTCCAGGAATTCTTGCACTTGTGTAGACAACTCCCGGAGACAACAAAACCAAGGGGACACAGCTGTCACAGTGACACGTAAGGCAGCCAGAGACCAAAAGGGAAAATATGTTGGGAGGGGAGAGGGGAGAGGGCAGGGCACTCGAGGTCTGCTCAGACGTGAATTCTAATCTCTGTTGCTGACTCCGCTCCTCCTCTGTGGGAGGAATGAGTCAAGGCCTATCTTGAGTGGCAACTCTCGTTACCAGAATGCTCGGGTCATTTTTAGTGAAAAACTCCCATTTGAGGGCCGTGTGGGACCGTGCTGGGCAGTGC